GCATCACGTCTATCATGGGATCATAGGTGGGTTAATAAGGCATGGAAAGCACTTAGCACAGTGCCTGCCACACGGTGAATGCTAGATACTTTTGTTTTTACTGCATGACAATACCAAGGCACAGACCCATTTAGAATGGTGATATGTGCCTCTGTCCCAAAAATCCCCAGAAATAAGGAAATAAAAGTAGCAAGGCTGGTACCCCAACTTCTAGCAAAATTGACGAGTGTCAAGAATTAATAAATGCCCATTGGAACTTTGCTTTCATTTCAAGGGATGGTAATGAATAAGGGGATAGGTTCAGACTGGAAGTAACTATATGAAAGTGCTAGTGATCAGTAACTTCCTTCCAAAGGGGAAAGCATGGGCTGGGTGCGGTGGCTCACACCTGTAATCCTAGCACTTCAGAAGGCTGAGGCGGGTGGATCACCTGAGCTCAAGTTCAAGACCAGGCTGAGCAAAAGCAAGACCCCACCTCTACTGAAAGTAGGAGAAAAAAAAAAAAAACTAGCGTGTGGCGGGTGCCTGTAGTCTCAGCTACTCAGGAGGCTGAGTCAAGAGGATAGACTGAGCCCGAGTTTGAGGTTGCTGCTGTGAGCTATGACGCCACAGCACTCTACCCAGGGTAGCAGAGTGAGACTCCATCTCAAAAAAAAAAAAAAGTAGAGCATAAACAGTGCAGCAGAGAACACCTTTACGGTGGAGAAAACTGACAAACGCTACTTGGGCCAGCGAATCAAGGCTACAGCTAACAGTGATAAGTCACACTGATAGCATTTACCTTTGATATAATACATGGAATGTTATAGATAAACGGCACTTCACCTGTCTTACAAAACCCCATAACCCCAATTTAATCATAAGAAAAATAACAGGCAGACTCAAACTGAAGGACATTCTACAAAACACTTGACCAAGACTTCTCAAAACCATCAAGGTCGTCAAAAACAAGTCAGGGAAATTGTCAGAGCCCACAGAAACATAACTAAATGTAAAGCTATATTCACGATATGATCCTGGAACAGAAAAAGGGCATTAGGTGGAAAGGAAGGAAATGTGAATGAAGTATGGACTTTAGTTAACACTATAGTATCAATACTGCTTCATTCATTGCAACAAATGGACCATATTATGTAAGATACTGACATCCTAGGAAAGGGGGTGGGGTACAGGAGAACTCTATACTATCCTTTCAACTTTTCTGTAAATCTAAATCTATTCTAAGAAAGAATATTCTGTTTTAAAATGGTGGGCCAGGCACAGTAGCTCATGCCTGTAATCCTAGCACTCTGAGAGGCCAAGGCAGCAAGATCACCAGCTCAGGAGTTTGAGACCAGCCTGAGCAAGACGAAGACTCTACTAAAAACAGAAAAACTATCGGGGGATAGTGGCACACACCTGTTGTCCTTGCTACTCTAGAGGCTGAGGCAAGAGGACTGCTTGAGCCTAAGAGTTCAAAGCTGGTGTGAGCTATGAGGCCATGGCACTCTACCCAGGGTGATGGCATGAGACTCTACCTCAAAACAAAACAAAACAAAAAGCTACTAGTATGTCTGATGGTAAGATTACAAGCAATTTCTTTTCTTAGTTTTGTCTTTTTATTATTATTATTATTATTTGGTTTTCTGGGTTTTCTTTAGACACAGGGTCTATTCCAAGTACCTGGCTATTCACTGACACGCTCATACCACACCACAGCCCTGAACTCCTGGCCTTAAGCAATCCTTCCACCTCAGCCTCCTGAGGAACTGGGTCTGTTTTCTTAAGTGGCTTACAATGAATATGCTTTGCTTTTCAATAAACATTAAGAAAAAAATGAATGGATGCAGGGCCCTTTGGAGACAGAGTGCTATATAAATAAAAGTATTAGAGTTGTTCCTTGGGCAGCAATTAAAGCCCACTTGATCATTCTGCGCCTAGGCAGCTCTGGCCACCAGGGACTGGCACTCTCCCAGGGGAGGGTGGTGTGCTTCTGAGCCCTGCCAGCATTTTTCCTGCCTGTGATCGGCACTTGCTGGCAGAAGGGATGCCAGGAGCCAAGGCAGCTGCTGCCTCAGCCAAAGGGCTGTCCCAGGTGAGCCTACGCTGCTGGCTCAGAGGCCTCAGAGGCGTATCAGCCCCAGGAAAATCTTGTCCACCAGCTTCCAATCCAAGTGTCCGCCTGCTTTGAGTTATCGGCCCAAGAGGCAGGAGTGCTGCAAGTGGCCCTCAGCTCCCACCCTATGAACAAAAGACCAGCCCAGCCAGGAATGTGCGCTTTGTCTCAGGTACTCAGTTCACCATCAACCAGACCACCCCGACCTGGAACAGTCCTGGGTAGGCAGATTCTCTATTTTTTTTTTTCACAGTTTTTGGCCTGGGCTGGGTTTGAACCCACCACCTCCAGCATATGGGGCCTGCGCCCTACTCTTTTGAGCCATAGGTGCTGCCCCAGATTCTCTGTTTTTACACCTCTTTTAAAGCTAAGACTCAGAGAGGATCTCCAGCTCGCATGGGTCAGAGCAGGTATAAACTCTGATCTGCTCACTTCTTCAGAGTTGTCCAAAAGAAGAACACCTATCCTTCATTCTCTCGGGGACAGGCTGTGACTGTGGCAGATGGCTGGATCACATGTGGGAGACAGGGCGCTGGAGGAAGACAGAGCCACCACCCCAATACCAAGGGCTCCATGGACAAAGATCAGCTTGTTCTCACACCCAAACACCAGTTCCACCTCCAGGATCAGGAGGAACATGGGGGATCCCCCAGGACTGCCCTCTGGGATCCACATCCAATCAGTACCCAAAGGCATCTTCTGCCATCCTGGTGTCCAATTCCTACGTGGACACGCCATCCCCTCAAGGAGGGCCTGAGAAGCAGGGGCCAGGGGAGATACGGTACTGGGACATTTCCACTGTACTAGGATTGGGACCAGCTTCTCTCTCTGAGAGTTATAACAAGAATGCCGGGAGGAATAGCTCAGCTTTCTAACAGGTAGAAAAGAGTTTAATTTTTTATGAACACATTAAGTGGTCCCCACTTATTCTAGTGACACTTCCAGAGCTCACTCAGCCCTTCATAAATCAAAGCAACCTTTGATCAGAATTGATCAGCCTGCTTGACTGTCCAAAGTATTCCCCAACAGGGGCACCCAAGGGACTCTTAGCTGTTTCCAAAACCCAAATTCAAGCTCAAAAGACCAAGACCTATCCCACTGGGCCCACTCCCGAGAACCCCGGATGAGGTCTGAAAAAAGGCTGCAGGACACAAAACATTACTTTCCCAGATACGTCACATCAGCCACCTGCCTCTACAGTCAAAGCCTGTGTGTGCTGCACTCCTCTCTCTCGGACTCCCACAAAGGCTCCAAACCACCGTGGGAGAGTGTGGGACACCCCAACTCACATTCAAGACCTAGCTCTGCCTTCCCCGGAAGTGGGGCCCTGCCTCTTCTCCCCCCACAGCACAGAGCCCGGGCACAGGGATCAGCCCAGGCTCCATTTGTTCCTCCTAATGAGTCTTAAGTGTTTGGCTTGGGCTTCTGCCAGTCCTACTCCTGTGGGGAAGAGAGGGCAGGCAAGAATGGGACAAAGCTTGTGCCAGCTCAGCTCTGCTAGGCCCAGGGAAGACTGGCACAGACGCATCCAGGGGTGCAGCCAGACTCCCACTTGAGGCCCACAGCCTTCTCTGCCCTCCACTTCAGGGCCCTTCCACAATGCAGATTCCTGGGTACATGTCCTAGACTGGAGTACTGGGGGGTAGGCCCAAGAAAGTGCATTTTTAATAAACACCTCATGAAATTGCAATACACAATGCAATTTCAGGGCCCCTACTCCTAGAAGTCAGTGATAGGGATTTGGGCTGGTTTGTAAACTATGTACACAACTTTGGTCAAATTCTCAAATTTGATCAATAGCCCCTACCCCTCAAAAATAAAAACCAAAAGGTTAAGAAGCACTGGCAAAGAGATGGGTGTCTCAGTTCAGTTGTCTCTTATTGGTCACAACTCAGAGGCTCCATTCAGGCCCCCTGTCAAGGCAAGGCTACAGGGCCCTCTCCTTTCCCCAAGCGTCGGGGAATGATGCTAGTCCTCAAAGTGGCCAGTGGGTCTGGGAAAACCAGGAAGACAGAGAATTAGGCTGAGGGAAAACAGAATGCCAACAGCCAGGGGATCAGGTGAGGAAGGACAGAGCCTTAGGGACATTCCAGAATGCTTAGGCTGAAAGGAACCTTAGATATCAAGGGAACCAATCCCCTGGCATGAAGGGTAAATTTTTACCAACATCCAGTCCTCTCTAGGCACACAACCAAACCACATTTCCCACTCCCCCACAATTATGCCCATGAATATGGATCTCTGCTATGGTCTGAACGTTTGAGTCTCCCCAAAATTCCTATATTCAAATCCTACACCCCTGAGGTATTAGGAAGCGGGGCCTTCTGGGAGGTGATTAGGTCATGAGGTTGGAGCACACATGAATGGGATTAGTGGCCTTTTGAAAGGCTCCAGAGAGCTCTTGCCACCACACGAGGACACAGTGAGAAAGTACCATCTATGAACCAGATGCTGCTTTATAAAAAATACTGGTTTACAAAACCAGTATTTTATATTAGCAGCCTGAATGGACTTAAGTCTCCCTCTCTCCAGAATGCTGCAGAGGACTGAAGGCCCCAGAAGATCCTGAGCCACAATAGGGAAAGAGCCTGGGCTCTGAAAGACTTTGAGGTGCAGAGTAACCCCTACCACCAACCCACTCTGGACTGTGCCACAGGTGAGACAGGAACATTTTTGTGCTAAGTAAGCTACTGAGATTGAGGGGGGCAAGGGGTGCAGCATCTGAATTGGTAATCAGCCTACTGTAACCAATATACCCAACTCAGGAACACTGAGCCCAATGCGTAGAAAGGAAATGACATCCCCAATGTCAAAGTGAACCCCAGGTAAGGCAGAGCATTTTCTAACTACAACCTTAGATGAGAGGAATGGGCAGCCATGACCATATCCCACAACGTGGACAGCACCAATTCCCAAAAAACTTTATTGTTTCAAGTGGCAAAATGTCATTGGTCTCTGTGGGGCACCTGGTGGGGCAGAGAAAGACCTGGGTTGGGGCAGGGGTAGAGCTCTGCCCATTACAAAAATCAAAGGCTTTTATAAAAAATGCTATAAATTGGTATCAAAAGAAAACCCAAGGGAGGCTGAAGGAGGAAGCAGAAAGGGAAAGGAACAAAAACCTTCAACCACTAGGGACAGAACCAAGGCTAGGAGGGAAGGTGCAGGGTAAGGGATTGGGGAGGTGATACAAAGTGCATAAATGTGCCTCCCCAGACACTCCTCAGAGGTGGAGGGGGACAGAAGCTGCAGCCTAGGGTATGGTGGGGCTCCAGCCGTCTCCTTGCCGGGGATCCCTCAGGAACAGGCACTGCCTGAGACTGCCAGATGGGAGAGGCCCTGCAGTAGGGAGGGAGGAAAAGAGGTCAGGAGAGGACCCCATGAAGGCTCCAGCTTCCTCTCCCCCACTATCCTCATGGCTCCCACAGCTGAGCCCAGGCATAAGAAAGGCCTCTGGTGGGACCTACATCCCCCAGTTAGTACCCCCAGAGGTCACTCAGGCCAGACACAGAACATGGGGGACAGTCCGTGTTCTGACAGGAAAGCAGGATGGGATGGAAGCATTCCTCCTCTTCCATCCCAGGCCTGACAAAACCCTCTACTGATCTGAGTCATTACAGCTTGGCTTCACCTGCCTGTTTCCAGCCTCACATAGACAAGGGGATTGGAGGTACAAGCCTCCTGAGTTCTCCAGGGCAGCCCCGCATACACCCAGGTCCCAAGCTGGGACCAAGTCCAAGCACCTGCCCTCACCTCAGTGACTCTCAGACCTTCTTCTTCTTCAGCTTCAGGGCTTGCAGCCAGTTGGGTGATGATCCCTCTGACCTAGAAGGCAGAGGGTAAAGGTCAATCAAGAAGGCAAACTCTGGGGAAACTGAACAAAATGAGGAGACAGGGTAGGGACAGAAACCCCCCCCAACCAGAAGAGGCAGCCTGGGGCCTGGCTGCAGGGAGCAGAACTCTGCCATCAACCTAGCACAGTTCACTATGTCTAGGTCCTCTGTGAGCCTCGGTTTTCCTCGTCTATGAAGTAGGGGAACTCTCTTTTCAGGCTACTACAATAGGGTCAGTCAATGTCACAGCTCAGGGCACCTACCCTGAGGACTTCTCTGGCTTGGGAGGTAACGTAAGGGGCTTCCCCAGCCCCGGGACCTTGCAGGACTTGGAACGCTGCACTGCAGACTCCTTCTGGCTCGACTTGCTCTCCGCCAGCTCCCCCTCCTCAGCTGAGCGGTTCCGGGAGCGCAGCTTAGCCTGGGAGACAAGTCCAGATGCAGACTGATGTCAGAGGATCAAACAGAAGGATTCACAGAAGGCCAGGCCTTCTCCCAAGAGTGGGAAGTCCCCAGAGCCAAACTGGCATCTCCTGCACAGTCTTTTCACCGCAAAGAACGTGGAATCACTCAAAAGATGCACTTCCCTCCAAGCTGAGCCATGTCCTGAACATAGTAGGTCCTCAAAAAGATACTGATGGATTGAATTCAGATAAACTGGGCTGGACAATGTCAGTACAGACTTCCCAGACTTGTTCCCTCTGCCTGCCAGGCCTCCCCACAGCCAACTCCTATACCTGCCCCAAAGCTAAGACCAAATACTTACTAGAGGCCTTCCCAAAACCCCATCCCATGCCCTACCACCCCACATTAGGAAATAACTCCTCCCTCTCGAAATAGACACAGCCCTCTCTGTGCCTACCCAGTGATACCTACACTTCTCTCCCTGCCCAAGGTCTAACACAAGAACACATCTTGTACTTCCTTCCACCTGCTAGGCACACTGAGTCCAGCAGGCCGTAAAGGCATCTTCTAGGGCCCTCCATTGGAGAGGAGGCAGGAGAGAGGAGTATTGGGGAAATGACAGAAGGACAGAGAGAAGAAAGGCTGGATGCAAGGTGGCCAGCTGGGTGTACAGGATGAGTATCAGGCAGTACCTTCAGGGCTGACGGGCTCAGGCCAGGAAAGAGATTGACTTTCAGCCCCTTGGTGCCTAAGGACATCCGCGTCCGGCGGCTCTGAGGCTCCTCCACTACCTCTTCATCAGAAGATGGCACCCGAGCAGTCCGTGGCTCTGCAAGGCCCAGGAAGGAGGCTCAGCACACTTAGATGACCTGCCCCAGCCTCTGCACAGCCCAGGCCCAACACCCAGACATTGACGACAAAGACGTCATTAAATAACACGCTGGCCCTACCCGTGGAGTCCTGGAACAGGTGTGCATCCGAGTCGGCTGCCTCTGACAGGCCCAGGGTACCTCCAGGCCGGATGGCTGGAGCCCGGTGCCCACGCTTGCGCCCCAGGTTGGCACGGCTCCGGTACATGGCACTGTCAAGGAGCTCAGTGTCCTGCTCCGGATGACGGGGACACCACTGTTATTGACACCCTATGGCCCTGCCCCTCCCCACGGAAGCCCCTCGACAGCAGCTGATCCCTCCCTGTTCTTGTTCACATGATGCGCCCACAACCTGCTATCTGCCTCCTGGACAGAGACCACGGAAATGGGGTTCTGACTTTACCACCCACATTGTTCCCACAACAGTCCACCCACTGCCCTGGGCTCACCACCCACTGACCTCAATGAAGGAGAAATCCTGACTGGGGGTGCTGGGCAGAGGTCCTCGGGAAGGGTGCCGAGGCGTCTGGGCCAAACCTTGCACAGCCCGCTCAGGCCCTGAAGAGTCCCCAGTGCCATCCGTATCTTCTGACCAGCTGGCTTCACCATCAGGCTGTGGCCTCCAGGAGGGCAGAGGGTCCCTGTCGGGCTCCAGAGGCACCTCTTGGTCAGCACCTACTGTGGCACCTTCCTCCTCCAGCTGGACCCTGAGGCCTGAGACTGCCAACTCCTGCCGGGCCAGCATCTCCCCCAGCAGGCTCTGGGAGCCAGAGGGTGGAGAGCGGGCTGGGCACCCATCAGGGCTACAAAGGGAGAGACCAGAGGACAAGGTCACCCTCCAGGCCCCATCTCCCTCCTCTGAAGCCCACATTACAGCATCCCTCTGTCCCCAGCACGTCCCTCCTTCCCATGTTTTCCCCAGACTCCTGCACCAAGGACCTGGCCAAGGCCTTGAGCAGCACATTACACAGGGGAAGAGCTGGCCAGCCTGAGACCTTGGATGAGTCCCTTCCCCCATAAACACCTCAGATTCCTCTGTATTGAGATGCTAGGGGGATGGAACAAGCGTGCCAGGCACTCACACATGCTCTGTAAGTAACAACTATCATTACTGCTGCCGTCATCACTGTCGATGCTGTCAGTGTGTCCCCTCCCTGAGCACCTGTCTGGGCAGTCATGCTCTGTAAGATGAACCAGGTACTGGCCCCTTGCCTATCCAGCCTCATACACTGCTGTCATTGAGCAAGCTACTCCCTCACCTGAAAACGTCCCCCGACGCTATCCCTTAACGTCCTCTGCCCTCCATCCAATTCCCCTTCTGATGCTGCTCTGTCCCCTCCCCAGCAATCATAGCCACCTCAGCTCCTCTGGGTGCCAGCCCCTGCTTCTGTTCCACAAATCTCTGTCCCCACTGCCTATGAACTCCTCAAGGGCAAAGACAGGTCCTTTTGCCTTTGTGTCCCCAGCACCTGGCTAGGAGCCTGGCCGGGAGCTGGACTAAGCAAATGTTTGCCCAGTGAGTGCAAGGCTGGTTCACCTTGGACCTCAGTGCAGTTCGTGGGTCCCCTGCCTGCTGCTCCTCTGAGACACAACACAGGCACACCACACAATCTCACTAATTCACACCTTATGCACTGTCCAGCTGCCACTCCCCGAAATGGACACATACTCAGGCAGGAAGCAAGTCTGTCTGCTTGTCACTCCCTGGAAACACACCTTGCACCCACCACACCTGCCAGCATAGCAGAGCCACACCCGACAGACACACACATACACACACACACACGCACCCCCACTCGCACCACAGGAGAGCCCGGAAGCCAGGCCGCCGTTCCTGCCAAGGCTGGAGGGGATGGAGACCGAGGCAGGTGAAGCAACATCAAGCAGGAAGAGCGGGCAGGGAGGGGGCACACGTGTCAGTCTGTCCTTCCAGAAGCTGCTGACAGATGGAAATTAAAGCAGCCTGGGAAGGGGGAGGGGAAGCAGAGGCGAACCACAAGCAGCACCCTGGATGGGGGCCAGGGCCAGCTCACCCTGACAGCCAGCTTAAAATCAAGGATGCCAGCAAGGAAGGGGTGGCGGCAGCACCCCACCCAGACTGCAGAGACCGTGCCCAAAGCTTCTCCTTGGGGTGGGGCAGGCCCCACGAGCTAAGAGGAAGTGAAACACCCACTAGGTAACTGGCAAAATCCACTCCCAACAAGAGCTGGTCCCAAGCCACATGGGCAGAGGTCAGTGGAGAGAGATTGGTGGGCTCGGCAGGGGGCTTGAGAAGTAGAGAGTGGGGACAGCCCTGGAAAGCTCAGTGTATGTCAACCTCACCAGCCTGCCTCACCCTTCACCCCAGAATACCTACAAGCAGAGGCCTTCCCACAGGGGAACAGGTGAGAGGAGTGGTTAGGAATGTGGGTGCCAAGCTTGGCTGTGTCCCCACTATGCCTGTGTCCTTGGCCACAAGTTACTTGCCCACTCTAGCCTCAGTTTCTTCATCTATAAAATTGAGGCACCTAAACTTTGCTGTGTTTGTGGGCAGAAACATGTGCCTAACACACGGTGAGCACTTCATAAATGTAACAAGTTACTAGGCTAATGACCATCACTCACAACACAGTTCCCTGGCCTGAGAGGACGTGTCTCATCTTATACTGCCTGTCCCCCGACCCGGTCTAGACTTCAGAGCATCCTAAAGGCTTGCCTCTACCCGACCCCCACCTGCCACCACTGCTGCAGGGGCAACACAGGGACCAGATCCGCAAAAAGTAAACTTCTCAGTGCGCAAGCAGGGCAATGTGTCCAGAGAAGCAGATGTCCTTGACACCAGACAGAGCCAGGGAGGACCACGAGGCTGGGGCCCCAGGGGACACGAAGAACCCAAAGTCACCAGTTGTGGGAACCTCAACAAGTTACACTCCCGCTCTATGCCTCAGTTTCCCCAGTTTTGTGAGAACTAATTGACTTAGTCCTCACAAAAACACTATGAGTACTGGGTATAAATTACTCCCGATTCACAGATTAGGAATTGAAGGCCCTGAGAAGTAACTTGTCCAAGGTCACAAACGTGGTGATAGAATCAAAGCCCCCTTACCTAATAAGTGGATCCAAAGTCAGATTACTCTGAGCTACTCTCTAGGACTTCCTCATTACAAAGGGAACCTCCAAAATTTTCTTTAAAGAGCAACGTTCCATAGTGTAGAATTTCCCTATGCCAGATGCTGAGAACACTAGCTTTTTGGACCTCAGTCAAGGAAGTTTGGGAAACGCTGCACAGCTCATCTTTAAGGTACAAATAGATGCTAACATGTGCACTGAGTCTCCCGCACAGCCATAGCATTTTCCAAATGTTTTCTTTGGGACACATTTTGGAAAAGGCTGCCAAAAACCGTAAAATTCAAACAAACCCCTCAAAAGCAAGTTTCCTTTCAGCTTAGAGGCACATTTTCGGTTGCATACCACAAGGTTCACTTCAGCACAACAACTAAATCCTGAATTTGGGTAAAGTCAAGATTGGCCAGAAAACGGTAACATGGCCAGATAAACCTGGGCATGTTAAAGGCATGAAAGGACCAAAACTCAAGACGGCGGGGTGCTTCTCTGCCTGCCTCAGAAGGGAAATGCAGAGGGCTGTGGGTCCCACTCCTTGTAGTCTTAGGAGTCTTGAGCAGGCCTGGCACAGTGGTTCACCCCTGTAATCCTAGACATACAGACTGCTCAAGCTCAGGAGTTCGAGACCAGCGTAAGCAACAACAAGACCATGTCTCTACTAAAAGTAGAAAAACTAGCTGGCATCACAGCAGGTGCCTATAGTCCCAGCTCCTCAGGAGGCTGAGGTGGGAGGATTACTTGAACCCAAGAGTCTGAGGATGCTGTGAGCTATGACGTCACAGCACTCTAGCTAGGGCAACAAAGTGAGACTTTGTATCAAAAAAAAAAAAAAAAAAAAAAAAAAAAGTCTTGAGCCCAGTGGTCACCACTGAAAGCAGTTAATATAAACAAGATGGAAAGAGGTATTGTTGACTCTGTCACCTCGAGCAGGTCACACCACCTCTTGACCTGCCAAAAGAGAGCATAAAAACCCCTTTCCTGCTTCACGAGGCAGCTGTGAAGATCAGTGAGGTAAGATGTGCGGCTGAGCACGGGGCATCAGTTCTGTGAGTCCCAGGAAGAGAAACTGGGAGCCATGACTCCAAGCCTGCATCAGAACATTAAAGTTGGAGTCTGGGGCGCTCATAGGAGCCTCCCAACCCCTAGACCTATGCACTTCCTGTCCTGCAGTCTCGCCAGCAAGCAACCCCCCAGGCCTCAAGCTTTCCTACCTTCCTCGCTCCCTCCTTCTCCTTCTCTATCCCAAACGTCTCTCCCAACACCCCCCCCCAACAAGCCTCTCTAGCCCCTTCCTGGTCCCCCTTTCTCTCCACCCACTACCGCCAGCCCCTTCCTCTTCCACTTCCAACAGTCCCCAACCAGTCCCCTGTCCTGCCCCCTGACCCGTGAAAAGCTCCCACTCCAGGGTTACAACAGGCAAAACATTCTACTCACTAGAGAATAAAATCATAACTCAATGGATAGAAACATCAATGAAATAGATGCAATGCCTTCGTGCACCCTTCCCAGATGCAAAATCATCTCAGCTGGCTTTAAAATCCCATGAGACAGACTCCTGTGGACCTGTAAAACTACCACTCTGTTCCTCTGGAAAGTTTTTTTCAGTACCTTTGCACACAGAGACCAAGGTCATGGGGCCAAAAGCCAGGTCTTGACACCTTTCAGGTTCTTAAACATGCTCTCCAGGGCTCTATGACAGGGCAGGCAACAAGCACCAATTCTTGACCTCTTCAAGAACCAATGAGTGCTACTGTCCACTCCCAGCTATGGTGGTCCTGGCCAAGAAGACATGAAATCCTCCTTCCTTCAATGAAAACGTCCATGTTCCATGGCCCAGGAGCAACTGTGGCTTAAGGGCTGACAGATCCAGGGAATGGCCACTGTGTACAAGCATGGAACCTACCAGAAACCATCCAAGCTGTGACATGTACCATTTCTTCCTGCACAGTCACAATTCAAAATCACCAAGACGTGGTGTTATAAAAGAGTAACACCTCAAACATTATGGTTCCTTTCAAAAAGGAACTCACCTGTGTGTCATTTCATTTAAAAAAAAAAGAAAAAGAAATAAAAATAGTTTAAAATGTCTCAAGTTTCCAAAACACTAAAAGTTCTTGAGAAAAACTCTCTCTGCTTCCCTCAGGAAGGTTCCAATTTTCCTGATAGCTATCACACTTTCCCTCCTGCACCAGGATGGAGTTCCCTTACCTGGTTCCAAAGCCGGAGGCTTCTCCTGTCTCCATTTTGGTGTCTTCAGGGCGAGTCTCCAAGGAAGGCAAAGAGCTGTCCTCACCCTGGATCTCCGGCTCACTTGTCTCACCGACCCCCAGCTCCCTGCCCACCACGAGGTCTCTGGTCTCCAGGCCAGGGGACAAGCTACTGCTGTTCCCAGGGCCAAGCTCTGAGCACTGGCTGACCTCTCCCACCCCATGCTCCCTAGCTTCACTTGGGGCCCCGAAGAGCTCCAGATTCCGGGGCCCCAATTCCTGGGCCCAGTCTATCTGCCCCACTCCACATCCCCGTGGCTCCTGGGAACCTCCAGACTCCAAGTCACAGGGCACCTCCAAATTCCTCAAACCCAGGCTGTCACCCCACTCCATCTGGCCCACCCCCAGCTCTCTGGGCTCTCCAAGACTGTTCCTCAGGCTGAGGTCAGGGGTCCAGTCTGCCTGTCCAACTCCACGCTCCCTTGATTTAAGGAACTCTCCGGCCTCCACCCCTGACCAGTCAGTCTGCCCCACACCACTCTCCCTGGCCTGGCTGTGACCCACTTCTCCCACCTCAGTCAAATCTCTGTTCCTCACCCCAACATCAGAAGTCCAGTCCTTCTCCCCACCTCTAATCCCCCTGGGCTCTTCGGCCCCTCCACTTTCCAAATGGCTGGCCAGCTCCACGTCTCTCAACCCCAGGTTGTCTGACCAGCCCATCTGTCCCAAAGTATTTTCCCTGGCCTCACTTGAGCCCCCTGAACCCACACAGCTGGACACTTCCAAGTTCCTGAGACCCAGCTGGTCAGTCCAGTCCAGAGGCCCAGCCGTGGTCCTCTCAGGAGGCACGAAGTGACCACTTCCCAACTTGTTGGAAGGGCTCAGGCCAGCACCACTCACTCTGTCATTGCCAATGATGCCAAACTGATAGCTTCTCTCAGTGGCCTCCATACAGACGTCCCCACTCCAGTCCTGCGGCTGTGGGCTAAATGCCACCTCTGGCTGGGGGGCAACACCGAGACTGAACTCACCGGCCCAGCCTCGTTTCCCCTTCTCCCTGTCTTCCAGGCTGGCATCACCAGGGCTCTGAGCCCCTGCCTGCTGCCTCTCCTGTAGCCCCCCCACCTCCTGGAGGGCCTCATCATTTTGCCAGGTGGTCTGCTCTCTGGGTCCAGGTGCCCCATCCCGCAACCGGGAGGTGGTGGGACTGAATAAGCCCCCCACATCTCTCTCTTCTGGCCGGCCTGCATCCCCACTAGCCTCACTAAGGCTGTCTTCACCGCTGGGAACCTTCTTCTCAAATTCCTCATCCTGTTGCTGGGCTTCCTCAGGGCTGAACCCAGAGCTCAGGGCTCTCATTCCAAAGCCTCTGTCCTGGGTGCCGAGGGTCCTGGAGCTGCTACCGCTGCTGTAGTCCATCGTCCAAGCACTCTTCCCGAACTCCTGGTCCTGAGGTTCTGTGCCCTGGCTGCCATAGGTGCCAAGTGAAGAATTTCTCTTCTCAAACTCCCGGCACTGCTCCTCGCAATCCTGGCTGCTATACCTGCCCAGGTGGTCCTTCCTTCCTGATTCCTGACCCTGCTCATCATCATCCTGACTGGTGTAAGCACCCAGAGAATCTCTCTTCCCAAACTCCCAGTCCCCCAGGCTTACATCTCTACTGCTGTAAGTACCCAGCAAGTCTCGCTTCCCAAATTCCTGGTCCTGGAGTTCTGCATCCCGACTGGAGTAAGTGCCTTGGGAATCCCTCCTTCTGAACTCCCAGTCCTGAATGTCCACTTCCTGGCTCCGCTGAGTGCCAAGCTGGGCTGGCTTTCCAACAACCAGGTCTCGGGCCGGGAGGCCCCCAGGAGCAGACACTTCACTCTGGTCTTGGCCACTGCTGGCCTCAACCTCCTCGTGGTTGATGCCACACCTGCTGGCCCACTCCCTGGTGTTTCCTTTCCCCATTCCTTGCCCCCCATACTTGCTGGCCCAGTCCCTTTCTCCAAGGCCTGGGTCTCCTCTAGGGCTTAAGCCTCCAAGACTATAGTCCTGAGTAGCACTTGGGCACCAGCTAGAAGAGCTGAAACCACTGGGGTGTGGATCCGCTGTGATTCCAAATTCACTCTGCAGATCTTTCTGGGCCCAGCCAAGGAGTCCCTGGGAATCAGAAAAAAAGAGAATAGACAAAGAAACAATGCTTAGGGTCAATCAGGAAGGGAGTCAATCCAAAATGACAGAAAGCTGTGTGACCCTGACCAAATCACCTGACCACTCTGGGCCTCAGGGCCCTCAATTTATTTATTTATTTATTTATTTAGAGACAGAGTCTCACTTTATTGCCCTCGGTAGAGTGCTGTGGCGTCACAGCTCACAGCAACCTCCAACTCCCAGGCTTAGGAGATTCTCTTGCCTCGGCCTCCTGAGTAGCTAGGACTACAGGAGCCCAACACAACGCCCAGCTATTTTTTTGTTGCAGTTTGGCCAGGGCTGGATTTGAACTCGCCACCCTCAGTATATGGGGCCAGTGCCTTACTCACTGAGCCACAGGCGCCATCAGGGCCCTCAATTTTAAATGAGGAGAATTCCTACTGGTGGGGCTAGTGTGAGAGGATTAAAGGAGACCATTTATACCAAGTACCCAGCATAACGCCTGGCATAAGATAGGCACTCCATGGATGATCTTACGGTCATGTTTACAACCCTTGGCCCTGCCTAGAGGAAAGGTCCACACAGAGGAATCGGAGGGGGGAGGAGTGCACCTGCAATTAGGAGAGGTCAAGATTTAAAGCCCCTCCCCTCTGCAACTGCTCTTGCAAGACAAGATTCCCACAGACAAGGCAAGCAGACCCCTTCCAGCCCCTGGGGGGGTACCCCAGACCCTTCTCTAAGGAAAGTGCCCCCTGCCTGGCCCTCTCCAGAAAGGCCTCTCAGCCTTCACCTCAGCCCAGGGAAGGCAGCAGGGACAGCCTCTGGCATTGGGGAAAATCCCAGCCAGGGCTTCTTGCACTCCGCCCCCTCCCACTCTCCATGACTCACCCCCACAGGCCGGAGAGCCCTGGGTTCAGGGCTCCGGAGCCGGCCGGCCTCATCCCTCAGCGCTGCATTGGCCAGCAGCCGTTCCAGAACAGACATGCTGGCCTCCCCGTCCCCAGGCCGGGCCATGGTTCCCCACTCCCCCACCCACCGCCCGCCCCAGGGCTGCTGGGTGCGGCCAGGCTGGGAACAGGGACGGGGCTGGGACCCGTCCGACGGCTCTGGCTCTCGCTTGCCCTGGCCCTGCTCCCTCTGGAGCAGCTGCAGCTCTGACAGCCCCGCCCAGGAGCCAGTTGAGTCACCCACATCCCAGGACAGACACACCTACTGCAGGAGTCAGCTTGGTCTTAACCCTTCCTGCTCCTCCTCCTCCTTCCCCCAGCCCCCAGCCACCACCACCCCCGGCTCCGCCTCCTCTTCAGCCCCGCCCCTCCCAGCCCAGGCCAGGTTTGAAAACTAAATTTCAAAAGCCACCTGGCCTCCAGCTCTTAAATTCAGAGGCAGCCGGTAGGGGAAAGGGCACTGGGCCGAGAATTAGTGCTGGCCCGGGCCCCAGCCACCAACTTGCTGGGTACTGCGCAAGGCTCTGCCTCCTCTGGCCTCAGCTGCCTGCCTGCAAAGCAAGTCTTAAGCTCAATGGTTACACATTTGTAAAAGCCAACACTTATTAAGCACTTACAAATAAGCCAGGCACTATTCTTAGCACTTTCCGCATGTTGTAACTTATTTAATCCCCGCCATCACCTTCTAAGATAGAACTTATCACTGTTATCCACATCTGTAAGATGCAGAAACAGAGGCAAAGGGTGGAAAAGCAACTTGTTCAAGGTCTCATGGGGCACAGAAACATCAGAGCCAGGAGACAAACCCAAGCAGTCTGGTTCCAGAGCCCACGCTCTAAATGGCTATGCAATTTTGCCTTGAATGGAATTCTAGTAATCACAGACACTGAGCACTGAACACTGAGCACTCAGGACACATTGCACCTTGGGCTTTCCACATCTCATTTCCCTGAAATACAACTGGGGGAGGCCAACGCGATTATTATGAAATAACTCTGAAGCTTAGTGGTGAGCTTGGGTACATTCCCAAGACCAATCAGCAAGCCTGGAGTCAGGACAGGAACTCACGCTAAGCCCTACGCTCTGCCCGTGCAGCTTTACCAGACCTGAGAACAGGTCCCCAGCTGCCTCACTCACTGCTGCATCCCAAGCTCTTGACACGTAAAGCCCATGTTGAATTAAGCCTACCCAAGCCCTCCATCCTCAGAGCCACCCCCACCTGTGCCCATCCTCACCTCAGAGCAGGCACCAGGGGACTGTGTATCCTTCAGGTCAGAGCCTGCTCCCCGCCTTGTGCTGCCAGAGCTGGGTGGTGGCGAAGCCAGGAGGTCATCCAACCAGCGAGAGCTGTTTTCTGGGCCCGTAGGCTCAGGAGATGCCCTATAGGAGTCTTGTGCCTCTGTCCTGGGTTGAGTGGTCTCGGCCTGAGCTAGAGTCATGGTTTCCTCCTCAACAGGCAGAGCCTGCCCAGGGCCAGGGGCATCAGCAAAGAGGACACAGGGCTGGTCGGGGGGTGCTGACTGCTGCTGCCCCAGGACTGGCTCCAGGATGGGGAGGGCTGCCTCCCTGGTGGCCTGAGGGAGGGGAGACTCCTCTCCAGCCAAGGGCTCACGATCTTCATATCTCTCCTCTGCCTGCAGCAAGGACACTGCAGGTGTACCCCCAGATGTAGAGAGGGCTTCAAGGAGAACTGGGGACTGAGGCTGACTCTCTCCATCACCCTTCTGTGTCAGGGAGATATCTGAATCCTCCCCCTGCACCCAGGAACTAGGCCTTCCTGGCCTCCCCAGAGCTGACCTATTCCCTTGCTGCTGCTGGGACACTCCTTCTTCCCTGCTAGACACAGCCCAATTGCCAGACTCAGCGGCCTCAGCTGCCTCACTGGCTTCAGTGATGGGGGAAGGGGGTGGGGAGTCCAGCCTCCACACTCCCAAACCAGACGGCCGCGTGGGAAAGGTCCATTCAAAGGACTGTGACAAGCTCCAGTTGGACTCTGCCCCAAAGGGACAATCCAGGGCTGATTGGCTCCCCTGGGTTTGAGGCAGTGAAGCCAGAGAGCCTCCCAGTTTCTGGTCCTGGCCATGTGGCTGGAGCACACCTTCAGAGAAACGGCGCTGAGCCCGGCTACCGGAGCAGAGAGCTGCATCACCTTTGGATGCCTCTTCCTCCCCAGATGGAAACGTCCGAGCAGGATCCAGCAACTCACCCCCCTCAATCCAGGGCCGATCTGAGAAGGCTGGGGGCTGCTCTGGGCTGTGGGACTCTGTGATCTCCTCAAGGGGGGGGCTGCTAGGTCTGGGGTCCTCTGGAGCTCCCTCAGCAGGAAGCCCCGGGCTAGGGGTATGACAGGGGCCCTCTTCAGCCATGGCTGCACTTGGGGATGCTGGAGTTGTGGGTAGGCAAGGAGAAGTCTCAGAAGCTGTGAGACTCTGGGATTCAGGAAGCTGAGAGTGGCAAAGAGAGCTCTCATTAGGCAAGCGAAGATGGAGAGGCCCCATGCCAGGGCCTAAGGCTTCAGCATGGAGGCCTGGGCTGCCAGAGTCTCCATTCTCTGAAGCAGGACTTGGACTTGAGGAGACCTGGGGCTTGGAAACCTGCAAGAGGAAGTCAAGAGCTGTCATTAATCTCTCAGCTGGGCAAGGGAGCCTCCTCCACCCTCATTCAGAGACCCCGACTCAGGTCCTCCTTGGGCTGTCACTCCACAGACCACGGAGAGGAAACCAGAGCTCAGGGACCTAGGGATACACATCACGGTCATCCCATCTCTGGGGCTTTTGGGAAATCCAAGGAGGCCCCAGAGATATTTAGGACAGGGCTTCTCCAACTTCTTAGGGTCACAGAGTCCCCTTTTAGGCATTCTCCCCCGCCCCCCAAAAAATGCGCCTAGCTTTATTCACATAGCATCATTCATACCATTTCAGGTGGCTGGAACCCCCACCCCCATACCCCTCAGCTCATCTAAGATCTCCTGAAAGGCCTTGCTGTAGGGGTCAAGGACATATGTTTTGCAAAGGGAAAAGGAAAATTGGGAGCCCAACCATCTGGGCATCTCAGCATTCGAGTGTCAGGAAGAGGGTGTGCATCAGAGCAGGATGCTAAGCCCAGTACAGCTGCAGAACCACTCCCAGGAGAGGTGGTGTTCCCTGGCACATGACGTATACACACAGGTCCCAAGGCTAACCAAGGAAGGAGGAAGGCCCTCAAAATTCAGGCGAAAAACACCTGACAGGAGGGAGCCACCGTCCTGGTGGTGGGCCCTCCAACCAGGCCCATGTCCCAGAGCTAGGTGAGTGCTGGGTCAAATTTGTGCACTCTGAGCACAAGACCTTTACAATGGGGAAAGGAAGGGGATGGAAGGGACACCAAGCACCTGCCACTCCTTCACCACTCTGCTCCACACCATCTATCCCTAAGAAGTAAGTCTGGCTCTATCTGACCTCTGCCTTCCCTGAGGTCACGCTTCCTTGCCGCACTTTCCAATTTTGACTGTTTCACCCACATCCTCACATCATCGCTGGGCAGAAAAAAGGGATCCTGCTTGCTTCTCAAGGCCTCTTCATCTTCCCTCCCCCCTATACAATATCCTAGTTGTAGAGCTCATGCCCTTAAACTATACCAACTACAACCTACCCTGTTATTGTCCCCTGAAAACCCCTCACTCCATGAAAACTATAGCGCCTGGATCACTGCAAGTCCCTCCAGCACCAGTGTAATAATTTACAGTGATTTCCATAGCCAGAGTGACCATCCTGGCATCCTGTTCCCTGACCTCCCCTACCGCAGTGATTCTGCAACCCATCCTCTCCCAAGGTCACACCAGAGACCTTGTCCTTACCAATGACAACTTCTGTGTCATCTCAATCCCAAGAGTCCTGCTTACCCACCCCAGCTCTTTGTCCCCAGCGTCCTCATTTTCAGCCCTTCTAGGAAACATAGCCCATTAACCCTAATTCCGTCTCACTGCACCCTACTAGCCACCCTCAGGCCCTCACTTCTCTTTGTACCACCATTAAAGTCGCTCTTTATGCTACACTCGATTCTCTCATCTGCTTCATCACATTGTTCAACCTGTTTAGATGCAGTTCCCTCTCCCCCAGCACCTGAGCGCTGCATATGGCTGCAGAAAAGCACACACCCATGATGGCTGGCCTTGCTTCAGACCCACCGCTGACTTCAAGCCAGTCCAGTGGCTGCCCAGAATCCCACTGCATTCCCACCTTCCAGTCACGCCTGACTCTTCCGAGCAAACCTCCACCACCTCCCCCCATCTTCTTTCAGATGACAGCCCTGCTTCCTGTCCCTGAGAAGAGAGGGCACCAGCAAGGAACACCCACACCACCCCCTCACCCCCAGCACCCCCACTCCCTGCACGTGAGCCCAAGCACTCCTCAGCAGTCAGGCACTGTCCTCCACATGGCTGTGACCAACCCCTCCTCTCTCTCCAGCACCAGTGATCTACTGGATCATTGCCACCATCACACAAACTGCTCTAATTTCTTCTGTCTTAGAAAAACAGAGAAGCAAACCAAAAAAACCACTTAGCCCCACATTTCTCTCTAGCTACCACCCAATTTCTTGAAAGCACGGTCTACATTCACTATCTATAGGTCCTCTTGTCCCATTGTCTCTCTCTCTCTCTCTGCACATAGACTTTTCTCTTTCCTGTGCTGCCTAACTACTCGTCAAGGTCACCCATGACCTCCCTGGAGCTGAATCTCATTCTGGATGATCACCTCGCCTGACCTCCTATCCCACAGGCTGTCTTCCCACGGCCGACCGGGCTCTCCTCCCATCTCCCCATCTGCTCCTTCCAATTTCCTCTGCTGGGCCTCAGGGTCCCTCCCTCCTGCTCTGTCCCCACTCCCCTGGTGATCTCAGCCAATCTACATTGACAATTCCCCACTTTTTCTAACTTGCTCATCTCCCTTGGATGCCCAACTTGACTATCTAGCCTCCCACTTGACATCTCCAATGAAATGTCTGCAAGATGCCTCAAACTCAGCAAATGCCTCCTACCTCCCCTGAGCCTTTTTCACCTTTAGAAGCCCCCATCTCAGTAAATGGTTACATCCTCCTTCCAGGTGCTAGGCCAAAGCTCCGGAGTCATCCTGGATCCTGCATTTGCTCTCTCTCCTCACATCAGTCTATCCAAAAGTCCTGTCCACTTCACCTCCAAATTCTGCCCACAAGTAACCATTCCTCACCATCTCCGCCACAGGTTGCTTCCAAGGGCCAAGCCATGGTCATCACTCTCACCTGGATTATTCCAACAGCTCCCCCATACACACACACACACACACACACACACACACAAACACACTGGTCCCTACTGATCTGACCTTCCTGCCACTGATACTTAACCCAGCGAGCACAGTAACTCTTTATAACTAAGTCAGTAGCACATCATGCCTCCCCTCCTAACCCTTCCATGGTTTCTTCCCCTCACTCAGGCTAAAGTCTTAATAGCAGTCTGTGAAGCTCAACACAATCCGACCTCATCACCTCTTGGGCCTCACTACCACCCACCTCCTCACTCGATGTGATCCAAACATCCTGACCAGGAAGACACCAAGGTCTTTTGTACTTGCAGGGCCCAGTGCCATGAACGCACGTGACTGACTCCCTGCCCCCTGCAGTGGCACCCTGGTCCCAGCGCTCAGCTCACAGCAAGCGCTTCGTCACTGTTTGCCAGATGGCCAAGGGAAAGAGGCAGGTCTCCATCACAGGGCAGCCAGCACAGCCTGGGCCTAGGTTACTGGAGAAAGCTGGCTGCCCATCCCCTGAGCACACTGGTGGAAAAAGGAGGGGGTATCACAGGAAACCCCCAAGAAACTCTCCCCTCTTCTGAACCCAGGAAAGGCCATCTAGCCACGGAAAGCACTGGAAGCAGATGCTGCAGTGAGCCCTTGGCCACACAGTCATCTCTCAGGTGGGACTAATAGGGCCCACCAGCCAAAGTTAGCATAAGGACCAAGTTAGTTAACATTCCTGGGACATATCCAGCACAAGGCAGGCACTTCACCAATGCCAATTGTTATGGGTATTATCATTACTGTTCATAACAAGCCTCACGGCCCGAACCACACTTAGCCACCTAAGTCCCAGGGCAAAAGCCCTCGGGGAAGTTACTGCTTCCATGGGCCTCAGTTTCCCCATCTGAACTATCTGGAGGGTGGAACAGATGATCTTAGATGACCCTTCCAGCTCTAAAGGAGCTATGATTCCGATTCCTAACAGGAGGATAACTCACAGTAGCAGGTGGCTCAGAGCTGGCTGGCTTAGCCAGGTCTCCATTGACAGCCAGGTCAGAAGGGAGGATCCTGTGAGGGAGAAAGACAGAAAATAAAAGCCCAGAATATTAAAGCCTGTCACAGTAAATGGGAGAAAGTCTCTTTATGCAACTTCAAATGCAGGCAAAGGATGAAAACCCTAGGCATTTACTCCTGAGCGTTTCCTGGAATTATTAGGGTCTTAGAAGCCACAGAGCAAGTGCCCTGAGAGATAGCACTTGCTCCCTAGTTGCACATGAAGGGTTAATTTCCCCTAGCTCCTTTAGGTAAAGCGTCTTGCATGCCCAGACCCCTCCCCAGTTTTCAAAAAGGTAAATCTTCCCTCCCCTACCCACAAGGGGTTAAAATTCTCCTTCAGCCCAAAAGAATACAGCTGGTCTCTGCTGCTATCCTGCCAATACTTCTCTAAGAACACTAAAGGGGATGGGGGAGGGGAAGAGTGATTTATGCAAGGTTGAAGTTGTTCCCCTTAAGAGTTGCTTGGACCAAAAGGGATGGAAGGCAGAATCCAGCCTGGGCAGCTGTGTGACCTCACAGCACCCTGGTCTGGGACCAGGGTCAACTGATGCAAAGGGTTAACTCTAGGGCCAAACCTACAGACACTTACAGGTGAGAGAAGGCAGGGCAGGGCAGGGCAGAGGCCTTCAGCTTCCTGCCCAGCCCAGCCCCTCCCCTCATAGCAGCAGAGCCCAGGAGACCAGTCATGCCCTGAGGACCGCCTCCTGAGACTTTTCAGACTCTTCCTCCAATGTCCTATGTCTACCATCCCAGCAGTGGCAGCCAGTCTTCCTTTACACTAGGAGCGACTCTAGAGAAGTGTATCACATGCAAGTATCTCCAAAGAGCCGTAATCTGTGTGCAGGCACTAGCTGGCCTGGCATCAAGATACGTTCCTGTCTTATCTCTCCCATCAGATTCCTCCTCACTGGCAGAGACTGTGCCCTGCTCATCTTGACACAGACCCCCACCCCAGAGCTGGCACACTGCTCTGCCACAGCAGGAGCTGGCAGTTAGATTTTAGAATCAAACAGACTTGAATTCAAACTCCATCTCTGCCTCCTAACTTGCTGAGAGGTTATGTGAAGTCACTTTTAAGCCTCAGTTTCTTCATCTCTAAAATGGGTCTAATATCCTTTTAACAAATGAAATAGCAGTGGATTCAATGTGGCAAAGTTTGGTGCCCAGAGCTCAGTATAAAGAAACCAAAAATAAACTTCTATATTATACATCTCAAATCTCTGCTACAAACATGCATCAACTCTGTCAAGAGAATGACAGCTGTAAAAAGCACACATTAGCCGGTGCAGTGGCTCAGTCCTGTAACCCCAGCACTCTGGGAGGCCAAGGCAGGTGGATTCCTTGAGTTCAGAAGTTCAAAACCAGCCTGAGCAAGAGTGAGATCCCATCTCTACTAAAAATAGAAAAACTAGCCAGGTGTGGTGGCGCGTGCCTACAGTCCTAGCTACTCGGGAAGCTAAGTCAAAAGCATATCTTGAACCCAAGAGTTTGAGATTGCTGTGAGCTATGATGCCATCCATGGCACTCTATCCAGGGCAAGAGTGAGACTGTCTCAAAAAAAAAAAAAAAA